TTTACTATGAGTGATAATAAAAGAAGGAGCAATAATGGTTACAGGCAAGGAAAGATGAGGATGCACAAGACAGATACTGTGATCAATTTCAAGGGATGATGTAGCTCTCATATTGCTGCACAAGACTTTCTTGTGCTCTTTGATCATCCCATCACCTTCATCACATACCCGTATCTTCCTCTTTTTTACCTTCTTTTCTTTTAACTGCTAACATGGATAAAGGAGATTTGAATGAGGTGAAGTAGAGAATGGAGAGAAGCCTGTGCACAGATGGTGAAAAGGCATGAGAGAGGTGTAGAACAGAGAAACAAATGGATCTGAGGATCTGTTTTACCATCAGCTTGACTAGCATTTTGACTAGAACACAGGCACTTCCTTGGCTTTTCAAACACCCAGCTTGTCACTATACAGCACAAGATCTGAGCTTAAAGGATCCAAATCCATGACCACAGCTTCCCAAGTGGGACTTAACAGACTTTGGAATACCAGAAGGTGTAGGCACATGATTATTTTTTTCATATATATATATTTTTTCACATCGATTGGGTTTAAAATTAAAATAGGACCATTCATAATTCATCTTCCCTCCACCAGACATTGAAAAATCTTCATTTACAGAAAAAGCATTCACATCAATGTTAAGTGCATGCACAAATGAAATATACAACTAAAAGACATTTAATGATACTTGCAGAAATACTTTCCAGCAATCATTCTTATTTAATTAACAAGTGGATGAACCCTGACTTTGAGCAAGCCAAATGTTGTTTTGCAGCCAGTCCCTAAATCCATGGGCTGTACCTCCTGTTCAAACCTGCTTTGTAGCTTTTGCACTAATAATTTTTTTGTTTGCACAACCTCTCTTTTTTTTCCCCTCTGTTTTTGATTTCTAAATGCTCTTTGTTTCTATCTGTACAATCACACACAGTGCACTTGAAGTCTGGGGTATAAATAAGTGAAAATAAAATTTGGGAAAGTTGCAAGTAACTTCACCAGCAAAAAATACTACATGTTCAAAAATACATAAATAACCATTTTGATAAGCCTCACACAAACAGGCACATGCCTACTCATTTCTTCATATTCTCAGAGCTCTTGCATAAGACTTCTTTCATATTTGCCTTAGTCCCTGAAGTTAACACGTATCTTAAAGTTAAAAAAGATAGACTTGTTAATAACACACAAATGTTCATAGACATAACATCTTTACAGATATCCTCTGTAAGCAGATCAAGCCAGTCTCCATATGTATTTAAATGTAGTGGAAGGCTGGAGTTTTTAAGTTGTCAGATCTGTGCCTGGTTAAGAGGGGCTCTATTTTCACTCTTCAAGCAGCGAGAGATTAGCAGCTTGAAATCACTCTGACAGTTTCAGTTACTCCATTGCATACCGCAGGGAATTTTAATTCCAACCTGTGAAATTGTAATTGCTTCTCAAGAAGAGCAGGAGGATTCTGGGTAATGGCCACAGTCAAGCTCAATGTCAGAGTTGCCAGTTGCTGCCACTTCAGATATTACTTGCTGTTATTGAAAAATCACTCCAGCTTTCCATATGGGAAGTTGAACCAGGGAGTGAAACTAAATTAACAGAAGCTGTCAGATGTTCAGGGATGTGCAGACAATGATGTGATAGAGGTGGATGAACTCTCCTCAAAAGGTACCTTCTCCTTTCTCTCTCCTACTTTACAGAGCAAGCTCTACACAGACCATATTTTTAATTTCACCTTCTTTTTCTGAAAAGGTATACCATTAGGAGGTTACAATGAAAAGATTAAATGACAAAGTTCTCCAGCATCCAGAACACATAGAAATAGGACTTAAAAATAGATACTTTATATTGTTCAGAAGAGATTTAAGATATCTCTGTTATTCTAGTCTTGCGGTTTGCAAGATTCCTCACTGAAAACAGCTGAACAGAACTCAGTGCCACCACAGACATTCAAGAAAAATAGTTGAGGCTTCCTTGGTACCAAAAAGAAATCAGATTTTTCTTTGCTTTTAAAAATAAGGCATTGAATGTAGATTGCTTATTAGCAGACACATTCTCTGGTGATGAGTGTGTTCACCCACGTGTAAGAGTGAGATCAATTTACTGTGGGGAAACTTCCTCTGCAATGACCTCATTAACTCGGAGTGCAGCAGACTGCTCACCCACCCTGACGGCTTGTGAAGAGAGCACACTTGGTGGATGTAGGCCTCAACCATAATGCCAATGTGAAAATGAAAAACACCACCTGGCACGGCACTCAGAAGCATTCAGGGAGCCAAACGGGAACAGATCAAATGTGCTCAGGTCAACCTTTTCCATGGAAAAGATACACTTCTATAGCTCACTCTACACTCAGTGAGGTTTCCCTGCAGCATTTACCAGCAGCCTCAAGCAGCCTGCAGTTTAGGTTTTGCCTGAAGGTCCAGATGAGCTGTTTGACCAGAACTGACTTGTTCAGCTTTGTGGGCTTTGAAAGCTTTAGTTGTAAAAAAAAAAAAGGAACAAATTACCAACACTCTGCAGTTCTACAATACAGTGTCAAAAAGGAAGAGAATAAAATACTCGATGAACAACACTTCCTGCTTATCAGGTTAAAGCTAAAGCTTAAGAATATACTGTATCTGTAGGCAATGTCATTTACAAATTCTTCTTCACTCTCTTTCTGAATATTGCATTATTTCTAAGAAAATAGGCTGGTCCCATTAAAGCCAACAATGCACAAAACCTAAAGCACAAGCTTTGTAAATCTCTGTAACAGCTGATGCAATGAGTCTGTAATTGCTATGATTAGATAAGCTAGAGTAGCTGACAGAGAGAGTGCTAGAGGCAAGCATATCTACCTAGTTTATTCCCATCAAATGCAAAAATTTGGCTCACATAAAATGATTTTGTCAACTCATAGTTTTCCTGAGAATCTTGTGATTTATGACACTTTCCTGAAAGTGTTTCTTTGTTGTTTTTTTGGTTTTTTTGAATATTTCAGATGTTTTCTGTTTAATTGTTCAGATGTTTCAGATGTATACTATTTTTGTTACATATTCCTGGTTTAGAAAAAAAAGTCTGAAAAAAACAAGCAGAAGCAAATCAAGAGCAGAGTTTTTTTTAAAAATATCTCATGCATTTTGAGTATTGGCTCATGACCTTCAGTGGCTGCAATCAGGAATACAAAATTCAAGTCATTACACACCTAATTTCCTAAAGGCAGTTACATTTGTTGTTATAATTTAAAAGCTGTACTGAAAGCAGCATGGTGGAACTTCCTGATTAATTGTCTGTGACTCGTAGGAATTCTCAGTTTATAAAATACATAGCATCCTTTACTCATTTGGACTGTAGAGCCACAGTACTGGCTTTGGCTGGGGTAGTGGTAATTTTCCTTCTCATAGCTAGGCTGGGGCTGTGTTTGGGATTTGTGGCCAAGCCAGTGTTGACAACAGGGAGATGTTTCATCTGTTGCTGAGCAGTGCCCGCACAGCCCCAAGGCCTCTTCTTTTTCTCACATTGCCTCGTCAGCAGGTAGGCTGGGGGGGTGCACAAGAGGTTGGGAGGGAACACAGTGTGACAGCTGACCCAAAGTGGCCATGCAGACATTCCCTGCCCTATGGCTTTGTGCTCACCAATAAAAGCTGCTGGGAAAGAGGAAGAAGGTGTGTGTGGGACATTTGGAGTGATGGTGTTTTTCTTCCCAAGTGACTGTTAGACATGAAAGCTCTGCTTTTCTGGGGATAGCTGAAAACACCTGCCTGCCCAAGGTAAGTACTAAATTAATTCCTTGTTTTGATTTGCTTGTATGAGCAGCTTTTGCACTACCTGTCTTTATCTCTACCCACAACTTTTCTCACTTCTACCTTTCTGATTCTCACCCCCATCTCACTGTGGAGGAGTGAACGAGTGTCTCCGTGTTAGCTGCCTACTGGGGTTAAACCACAACAGCCACATAGGCAGCTCAGCTCTGTCTGTGCAGGGTACAACACAAACATACTGAAAAAAAACCCACAGTTCTTGTTATGAAGTTTTTGAACAGACTTTGCAAGTGGAAGTTTGGATGAAGATCCAGACAGGTGGCAAGGCATGAACGAACAAACACATAATATCATGCAGTTGGGTGCTGGCAGAACTGGGCACGGAGTCCAGTCCCTGATTGACCAGCACAATCTGAAGATGTGTGGAGATGCTGTCATCACAAAAATGCCTTGAAGACAGTAATTAGAAATTCACAGTGTGCAAAATGTATCCTCCCCACTACCACAGTCATATTGTCTTACACACAGTACGATCCAGCGCACAGCTCACAGAAGATTCACATTTGTTCTCTGAGCATTATGCTAAATCTAAAGAAACCATGTTAAATCCATCTTTTAACAGAGCTCTACTCCATCTTCCCATTCAATGACCAAACCCCAAGATCTTTAAAACTATTTCTATGTAAAAAATAATTATTGTTGTATTAAAAATCCTAGTAACTCACTGTGAAGTTGGCAGAGGCAAGATGGCAGGCCAAAGATTCTTTCAGACATGACAGCAAAATCAATAGCAACAAATGACCAACTTTAATGGCCCAGCAGTGCTTGATTTAAAGACACATATCAAACCATCACACTGCATTAAGCAAAATCTTGAAGAAAGCTTCAAATGTTCTGACCATAAAAGATTACCAACATCATTCAACAGAAGGATTTATTACAAAATTCATGAGTTTCCAGCATGCAGTTTTACCTGCTATGGTAGTTTGAAACAAGGAAGAAATGCAAACATTGCACCATTTTAGAAAAAAAGAAGAGGAAAGATGCAATAAACTGTTTTGCCAACCAAAGGCCTCACGTTTTTGCAAGATAGGTCTCCTCAGAGCTTATTAACATTCTTCCCTGTGAATGACAGGAAAGGCATAGGGTGAGTACAAATTATTGCCCAATTTACATTAGCTTTTTTATTTTTTTATTTTTTTGTTAAAGTATGTCCTTTGAAGATTTTTAAACAGCATTTTCATTGTTTTCATAAAAGTCTCATTCAGTTCACAGTTCTGTTTTCATTCCTCCGTAGTAAAACATAACAAGAACTGCCAGCAGAGCCAAGCTGACAGACAGGATCTTCAGTCCACCTCCTTGTTGCCATGGGAGCTGCAAAGGCATCCAAGAGCTGAGTGGTGTTTTCACTGGGATCTCAGCAGAAGGGTGTGCTTTCCAGTTTGTGCCTTTCTGTGGTGCTTGTCTGAACTCCTGTGAAGAAATATACATACTAAGATTGAAACTGTGCTATGTGTTTCTGATGGTACATACCAAACACAAATAGAATCGCTTTATATTGAGGTTCAGAATAATAACCCTTTTCAAGACAAACCACAATTCAACCTGCACTGCATAATCATAATCAGGTCATCAGTTTTTCATACAGAAATCTTACCAATGCCATACAAAGTCAATCTTGCTCATGAAATTAACTGCCAAATCAACAAAGCTGTTAGCAACAGAAACAAGTGTCCAGACCTCAGTGTCATCAAAGACAGTTGTTTGATGATTATTTTTTGTTTGCTTTGCTGCTAGCTCACTACTCCCCCATTTTGGGCTTCTTCAAAAGAAAGGTCTAACCAGTGACAAAAGGGACCACAACACAACAATCCTTTGCACAGCAGGGCTCTTCTAAAGTCAATCACGGCCTCCTGGCGTGCCAGCTCAGTGGTGCTTGAAAATGCTCCCACCGGGCTCTTCCTTTCCATCGACCCTCAGGAGGCAGCTGTGCTAAAACACTCACCTCATTCAGTATATCGAATTGGAGTTCCCCGCTGTGCCTGCCATTATCATTCTCAACCTGACTTCAAGCACCAAGATGCCCCAGAATACAGGGACTTCTAACTGCAGCACAGAGTTGCAGATGTTGAGTTACTGTTTCAGCTGAAATTCGAAGTGGAAAGATAAAGAAACTCTTCTCTCTTGCAACCTTGTCCAGTTCAGCACACTAGCATTGTAGATACTCAAAAGTAAAACATCTATTAAAACTGTACTCTAATGACATTTGCAAGAGGCATGTGTAAAGGTGTAATTAAACAATGGTGTAATGATCTTGCAACATAAGATGCAGTATTTCTGTTCATAAATTCTTTTTTTGTTCTATTTCAACAATCTCTTAAGAATTCAACTGAACCTGGCTTGATTTTTTAATTGGTTTGAAATTTTTCAGTTAAAAAAGGTTTTGGACTAATCCATATTATTTTTTTTTCTCTTCACAGTTCATATGAAACAAGTGAGGGACACAGAAATTGCAAAGGATAATCTTTTATTTCCGAGCAGCTAAAACTCGGTCACATGAAAATACACAAGATGTTCCACTCCCTCCTCTACCAAATATATTTTTGGGCCAACTCGAAGAAATATCAAAGCTCCAAGAAAGGTGCCTGCCCATAAAAGTGTGACAGCACCACTCAAACTGTCTGTAACTGCCTCCTGTTCTCCATTTCAGGAATCAGCTCCACTATAGTAACTGTAAAAAAGACGACTACTACTGGTTAGGTAAGTAAGCATCAAAGGGGCACCTGACAGCCTGGCATTAAATGCTATTCTAACATCTGCAGCATTATTGATTTAGATCAGAATTCACACAGGTAAAGTTGCTTAGTAAGTAACCTATGGAATGAGGAGGACCTCTATATATCCTATACCTAGAAGAACATCTACTGGCTCAACAGAGGAAAAGGAAACAGTAAGCAAACTGGGGTGTTGTTCTCCACAGTGCAAGGCACAGTAACAACACTGCTCCAGGTCTTCAGTCTATATGGCACAGAATAATTTAGTTTCAAACGATGAAACTGCTTCATATTGTTATTAATTACAATAAACTCCTACAGCACCCAAAATTTTAATAACTGGCCACAGCTATTTTATCCCCAAATCATCAAAGAAGATGAAACTTTGCCTACAGAATAAAGTGGAAACCATACATTATTAAGGGTTTGTTAATATATTAATCAAAACTCAATTTCTTCTTTCTAGACATTCATAAAGCCTTTCTTCTATTTGCAGGTCTCACAAATATCTACCAATCTGAGGTGCATAATTTATGGTCTTTACCTGTTTTTATATGTATTGTTCATATGTTTACACTAAGGCTGAGGCCATTTAAAAGAATGGATAAGGCTGTAAAAATATCAATTAAACCAAAACCTGATTTCTTCTGATATCAAATTTTCACCAATTAATGACTGAAAATCTGGCTGACTGCAATCAGGCTCCCAGCTCCTTATTAAATATTTCTACACAGCTTGATAATCAGTGAGGTTCTTGCACTAGAACAGATGCTGTCCCTTAGAAAACAAAGGGCCAGTACCTCATCAGTGACTTTGCAACTTTCTCCTCAATGCTTCTTTTCACGGTCAGCCTCAGTTCCTATCAACCTGTCTCTGCAAGCCTGGGGATAGCTAGCAGAACACCCAAGCAGAAGTTTCAACTTGTAAGAAGTTTTGAGGAGCTTTTTTCATCAGTGTTTCACTGCATTCTTTTTTCAACAGTGTTTCATGCATTCATTTTCCTGTGCAGTTGTGATTTCACTGGCACCTCGTTTCTCTTTTGCAGTTTTTTCTATTTTCCAACGCAAAACCAAACAGTCTTATCTTGTTGGTATAAATTTGATGTTGGGTTTTTTTTGGTTACTATCTTGTCTTCTTAAACCTCTCCAGCGATATGCAATGCATATGCATTAGGTAGTGCTGCATACTGCTTGTAGGACAGAATGGCAAAAGAGATTTTAGCAAGGTTTGAGAAGCTCTGATGGTGGGGAATGCCACTGGCCCAATGGCCAGTTGTCCCAGTGCTATTCCATCTGAGTAAGTCAGCCTAAAAAGCTGTGAGCTCCTTATTTCATCTATTTCCCATAAATTAGATTATCATACATATATTGAACCCATTTTCAATTTTCTTTCTGTATATCAGAGTTTCTCTTACAGTATTTTACAAATATTTAAAGTTAACTGGGTTGAAGGTACAGTTCTCACAATTTCACTAGGCTTTTGTTTTCCTTCTGTTTCGAACTCTGATGCATTTGTTCCTACTGCTAGTCACATTTTATAAACTGCTCAAAACTTTCAGATTTTTGCAGTACCTCAGATCATATAAGTGTCTGTCAAATACTTCAAGCCAATGGTTTTTCTTTCAAAAGATGCATCCGAAAATACGAAAATACTACTCCTATTACCTTGCTATCCTGAATTCTTCAGACATTTTCTTGGGGATTGAACTGTTCTTACAGGGACAATATATCACAATTTGCAAATGAAAGTGACCCTTTTCTTTAAGATGTAATTCACAACTTATCACTTAAGACACTACTCCATTTCTGTTTGATAAAGTATATCTCTTCAGAGATACACATTCTCTGCTGAACATTCTCTTTCAAGAAAATTAAGGAATATGTTAAACTGATCCATGTTTTTTAAGACCTGTTCTCTACTTTGTCCCAAAATTCTGCCTTGCAACACTGACATATGAGTAGTATCATCGTCTTCCTTGAAAATTTCCATAATTATTGTCACCGAGGATGCATTTGTAAAAAATGGGTACATCTGGTTCCTGCTCCTTTAGAAAATGGCAGTGTTTTTTTGTCCCTCCTGCAATTCATACAACAGCTTTTAAAAACAGGATAATCTCTCAGAGACACCTGCAGGTAGATGGTTCTTCCTAAAAGTCTGTTGTGCAATTCTGCAAGGCACAGCACAAAACTCTCAGTGGGAAGAGGAATTGCTCTGCTAGGCTGACCATGTTCTTGCACTCCCCTAAGCCTGAGCTAAGGGTGGAGTGGCCTGCACTGCAACCTGGACAACAGTGCCTGCCTAGAATATCATCAGTTCTTATTAACATAAAAGTACCAGATTACCAGCTGTGCTAGTGAAAAACAATGTATATATTTTTTTATTTGGGCAAATAGTCCTTCTGTAGGCTCTGTTTGAGGAGCTAGTTTTCAGGTGATGTATACAGTATGTATGGGCATGTATGGACAGAGAAAGAGAGGAGAGGATGAAGTTACAGAAACTAAAACTAAGCCTTCTAGGATAAACAAGACAAACTACAAGAGCTTTCTTCGGGCTGTCATGAGCTTTAGAGTTTGCAATACTGTAGTGCTACACTGCGGGATCCTCCTGTACACTTTGCCTTGAGGAGCTATCCAAGAAACCTGCAGAAAAAGTATTTAATGTTTTGTGAGGAGGGGAGTTCTCCACAGAAAACCAAGTTTATTACTGCCTCTTTATGCACCTTTGGTGTAAAAATTCTGGGTGGAGGTAAAGATCTCATTTGTCAACTCCCTGTGCTCTCACTTTACATTAGTATTAATTCTGAAAGGTCCTTATTTGTATCTCTAGATAAAATATTTGCAATGCATTGGCTTTTGAATGAAACCTTAAAGGTATTTCTGTAATATTATGAACTGATATAACTGGTGATATTTACTATAAACAAGCACTGGTCAAAGTTGCCATTTTCTTAAGCTGAACTCAGAAATCACACTGTTGTAGCTGCAAGACTCAGGAAGATTAGCATAATTATTCATTTTAGTGGACTTTAGAACTAAATTTGAGGCCTCTTTTACCAAAAAGGTACTTGGAGAAAATCCTATGGTTAAAAAATTTCCAAAAATAAGTGTTTATACTAACTGAAGTTTTGATAGGCATAAACCCTTTGGTAGAATTTTTTTTTAATTAAGGAGCATTGGTCTGACTAGAAAGGACTGCAATGAAGGAAAAGGTACTATAAGATTTAAACCTACATACTATTAATCAAAATGAGGGGAGGAAGTGAAATTATCAAACTGAAATGCAAAGACAGACACTTGGAGCTAAGCATCTTTTATTTCCATGGAGGCAGCCTTTCATCTTGTTTTGGCAGCCACAAAATAAACACAAGACTTTGCTAATAAGGTGTAATATAAATTATTAAACCTTCTAGTGTATGATCAAATGCATTTCAGATTATTTTTTAAATAATTCTGCCTTGACAACTGCCAGGAGTAATGTATTTTGTGTACTCCTGCACAGACCTATTGATTGCTGTCTTTCTGAAGCTCCAGTCCCAGACTTAAACTGCCGTGCATGAAAGAAATATATAATCACATCAAAACCTAAGCTTTGGCATCTGTCGATCACAGCCTAGCTTTTTATAAGATCTCACTTCATGTTAGTCAACAAAGACATGAGAGAAACTCTTTAGCTCTGAGCTGAGGTTTTAATAGATTCAAA